TTTCACCATGTTGGCCAGGATGGTCTCAATCTCTTGACCTCGTGATCCGCTCGCCTGAGCCTCCCAAAGTGCTGGGATTACAGGCATGAGCCACCGCGCCCGGCCGACCAACACATTTTCAAAGCAAGCCAAAGGTCATGGCTTCAGCCACAGCCCTGCGTGGGACTCAGTTTCCCCTCCTCTGCTTTGATTTTTTTTTTTGGGACAGAGTTTCGCCCTTGTCACCCAGGCTGGAGTGCAATGGCACCATCTCAGCTAACTGCAACCTCTGCCACCCGGGTTCAAGCGATTCTCTTGCCTCAGCCTCCCAAGTAGCTGGGATGACAGGTGCCTGCCACCACACTGGCTAATTTGGTTGTTTTAGTAGAGATGGGGTTTCACCATATTGGTCAGACTGGTTGAACTCCTGACTTCAGGTGATCCACCCGCCTCGGCCTCCCAAAGTGCTGGGATTACAGGCGTGAGCCACTGCATCCAGCTCTTTTTTTTTTTTTTTTTGACTGAGTTTCACTCTGTTGCCCAGGCTGGAGTGCAATGGCACCATCTCGGCCCACTGCAACCTCCGCCTGTCGGGTTCAAGAGATTCCCCTGCCTCAGCCTCCCGAGTAGCTGGGACTACAGGCGCCCGCCACCATACCCGGCTAATTTTTGTATTTTTAGTAGAGACAGGGTTTTGCCATGTTGGCCAGGCTGGTCTTGAACTCCTCGCCTCAGGTGATCCGTCTGCCTCAGTTTCCCAAAGTGTTGGGATTATGGGCGTGTGCCACTGCGTCTGGCCTACTTTGACTTCTGCGAAGAGCATCCACAGAAGTGGCTTCTGGTTCGTTTAGATCCTTGTGGTAGTGCCTCAGTGGTCCAGGGTTTGGCCAGTGCCACCCCGTCCCTGCCGCACCACCCAGTTGCCACTACTGCCCCCCAGGCGCACAGACACTCACGTTCTCTTCCTTACGTCCACTCAGGCTCTGAAAGCAAAACAGGCCAAGCCAAAAGGGCAAGTGTTTGTTTCCTGTTTCCGGCATCCTAACATTGCCTGTGCTGGGCCTACTGTTTGGAATGTTGTTTCCTCATCTTGTCTGCTGCCCCGTTTGGCTTTCTGACCATGCTTGAATACCCCCTCTTCTAGGAGAGTCTCCTTACTCCCTGTCCTCATTTCCCTCAGACCCCAGATCCCTCCCTCCAGCCTAGCCTTGGTCCCATAGGCTGGGCGTGCCTAGCTTTAACAAATTTATCTATTTGCTTATTTTTGAGATAGAGGTCTTTCTCTGTCAACCACGCTGGAGTGCACTGGCGCGATCTCAGCTCACTGCAACCTCCCCCTCCCAGCCTCAAGCAATCCTCCTGCCTCAGCCCCCTAATAGCTTGGGACTATAGGTGGTGGCGTCACCACACCTGGCTAATTTTTTCCTTTTTTTTTTTTTTGAGAGGGAGTCCTTGCTGTGTCACCCTGGCTGGAGTGCAGTGGTGTGATCTCAGCTCATTGCAACCATCCACCTCCTGGGTTCAAGCAATTCTCCCTGCCTTCAGCCTCCTGAGGAGCTGGGACTACAGACAGGCGGCACTGCATCCGCTAAGTCTGTATTTTTAGTAGAGACAAGGTTTGGTCATGTTGGCCCAGGCTGGTCCTCAAACTCCTGACCTCAAGTGATCCACCTGCCTCAGCCTCCCAAATTGCCGGGATTACAGGTGTGAGCCACTGTGCCCGGCAGGAGTGCCTAGCTCTGTTTCCTCTCGGGGTCCATTTCCTCTGTCCTGGCTCTTCCTCCACGTGTAATTTGGTTATGTTGCTGTTGGAGTCAGGCTGGGCATGGAGGCCCCAGGGCAGCAAAGGATGTATGTCTTGTTCCTAGGCAGCTGGCCTCAAGTCCTGTTGTGTTCATGGTGACTCACCTGCAGAGTCCTGTGGAAAGAAGTAAGTGGCATGAGACTGGGTGCGGTGGCTCACATCCCAGCACTTTGGAGGCCCGAGGTGGGCAGGTCACCTGAGGTCAGGAGTTCGAGACCCAGCCTGGCCAACGTAATGAAACCCCATCTCTACTAAAAATACAAAAAATTAGCCAGGTGTGGTAGGGGTGCCTGTGATTCCATGGCTCAGGAGGCTGAGGGCAGAAGAATCTCTTGAACCCAGGAGGCGGAGGTTGCAGTGAGCCGAGATCGCCCCCACTGCACTCCAGCCTCGGCAACAAGAGTGAATCTCCATCTCAAAAAAAAAAAAAAAAAAGTAAATGCCATGAAGTCACCCCCCTTGTCTTGTTCCCAAAACCTGTCCTTCTGATCTCAACCTTTTCACCTTCAGTCAGGACATGGGAAATCCCATGACCTCTGAGCCCTGTTTCCTCAACTATAAACTGGTAACAACCACTCATATATATATATTTTTTTGAGATGGAGTTTTGCTCTTATTGCCCAGGCTGGAGTGCAATGGCTCAATCTTGGCTCACCGCTACCTCTGCCTCCCAGGTTCAAGCGATTCTCCTGCCTCAGCCTCTTGAGTAGCTGGGATTACAGGCATGTGCCACCACGCCCAGCTAATTTTGTATGTTTAGTAAAGACGGGGTTTCTCCATGTTGGTCAGGCTGGTCCTCTAACTCACGACCTCAAATGATCTGCCCGCCTTGGCCTCCAAAGTGCTGGATTACAGGCGTGAGCTGCGCGCCCCGCCACAACAACTCATATTTTAAAAGATTGAGCTGATCCACATAAAGTGCTCAGAAAGGAACTTGTCATCTTCTTTTACAGCTGAAGAAACTTTCGTGTCTTGTAAGTTGCAAGCCAGGACTCAAACCCTGCTCTTGGGCCAACTCTGGGGCTTAACCTGACACGTTCCATTTCTGCCTTGTACCAAATTTGCTATTCATCTAGCAAAGCCTTAGCCACAGTGCCCCTCTGTTGGGCGGCCTTGTGTGATGACCCAGGGAAGCGATTGCTGGACCCCCTCAGAGCCCCTGTATCTGATAGTATTGTGGTTCCGGCTGCCTGCAGGCATAGAACCCCCGTCCCTGTCCAAGGGGTTCCCAGGGACCAGGAAAGGAGGCCCTCACCGTGCCTAGTAGCTCACTCCGCATCTCGCTGGTGTACCGCGCCCGTGACTGCAGATGCACCGTCTTTGTGGCGGGCACTCGCTCTCTGGCTGTGGTTGGCACACGGCCAGGGGCCAGGAACTGGTTGGCCAGTGCTTTCTCTGAGGAGGAGGTCTGCAGAAATGTGGGAAGAGAAGTCACTGGAGGGGCAGGTCCTGGGGACGAAAGTGAGCGGTGATGGGGGCTGAGGGGGAGGGGCACCCCTTCTCACCAGCTTCTCGGCTTGCAGCATCCCCTTCAGAAAATCCACCTTCCAGGAATATTCATTGATCACCTCAGAGGCCGGTTTGCTGGGAGGTAGGAAGAAGAAAAAGAAAACCTGTCCATGGTCCCCAGCTCAGGGAAGGGTCCCAGCTGGGACAGCGGTACTGGGATGTCCAGAATAGCCACGTGCTGATGTGAAAGCAGTAAGGCTGCCTGCACTCACCTCGCGTGGACCTTCAGGGCCTGCAACATGTCCTCCAGGGCTCCCACGTACTGGGGAGGAAAAGTGGATTGTCACCCGGGGGTCGTTCCCACGTCCTGCTCATGGGAGTGGGGGGCGGGGCCGACAAATGGGAGGGGTCAAGCGCAAAGGAGGCGGGGCCAGTGGGGGAGGGGCGGAGTCCCAGGGACGGGGGCGGAAGCTACAGGTAGACGTGGCGGGACTGACCGGAAAGGGCGCTGCCCGAGAGGCTACTGGGGCAGGGGAGTCCGGCTAGGTGGCTTCCAACCCTAGGAACCACCCCCCGGGAGTCGGACTCTACGCGGCAGTGCGAGATCCCTCACCTTCTCCAGGCGCCACTCGTCCGGGTCCCGTTTCTCCGCTGCCATCGCCTCGCAGCGGGATAGTAGCCGCACCAGGTTCAGCTCCAGCCTCGACGCCGCCATTATCGCCCGGCCTACCCCGCCCCTTCCGCCGGCGCCATGTTAAGAGAGGGCGGAAGTGCCTTCAAGTGGCCTTCCGGGCGGATGTTTTGCCTGCTCCCGTTCGCTGGCCCATCTTTGTTTGGAGCAGAAGTAATACCTTGTTTTGAGGCGGGGCGCTGGGCCGGGCGCGCTGCCTCAGGGCTGTAATGCCAGCATTTTAGGAGGCGGAGTTGGGAAGGATTGCTTGAAGCCAGGAGTTCGAGGCCAGCCCGGGCAATATAGCGCGACCCTACCTCTATTTAAAAAAAAATAGGAGAGAGGGCCGGGCGCGGTGGCTCAAGCCTGTAATCCCAGCACTTTGGGAGGCCGAGACGGGTGGATCACGAGGTCAGGAGATCGAGACTATCCTGGCTAACACGGTGAAACCCCGTCTCTACTAAAAAATACAAAAACTAGCCGGGCGAGGTGGCGGGCGCCTGTAGTCCCAGCTACTCGGGAGGCTGAGGCAGGAGAATGGCGTGAACCCGGGAGGCGGAGGTTGCAGTGAGCTGAGATCCGGCCACTGCACTCCAGCCTGGGCGACAGAGCGAGACTCCGTCTCAAAAAAAAAAAAAAAAAAAAAAAAAAATAGGAGAGGCGCCACCCCATTCTTTCTTACTCAGGCGAATCACTTCCTTTTCTTCGAGAGCGTGTTAACCCTTCGGGAATGATAGGACGACCGGGATCTTCGGGTGTCAGACCCCCCTGCACTGTGCCCTCTTGTTCTGTTTTGCTTGCTCGAAGTACCTCCCCCCACCCCACTACTACCTGGATTCTTCCCAGTCGGAGCTGTTTCACCTCCGCGGGCCCTTCCCGATTTCTCTTGTAGGAGGGGCTCTAGCCTGGAATTCAGGAATCCAAGGCTTCCCCCACCTCAGCGGGCCTCATCTGTATTGTGGTTATGAGCTTCCAGGTCACAGCTCCAGCTCTGATTCCATCCCCGGCCCTGGGCGAGTTTAACTTTTCTTGATCCGTTTCTTCCCCCGGGAAATGTACAGTGTGACAGTACCTGCCTCAAGGGTGATATGGGGCAGCTCTGCCTCAGAGTGAGCAAGGTGGGGCTGGGTCCCCCCTAACGCCCAGACCCCCGTGGAGAGAACCCCTTCCCAGCCCACCTCATTACCTGGAAGCTGAGTACCCCTATGCCTGCAGTGCCACGCTTCTGGAGTGAGAGGATGAGGGTGGGGGCTTCACAGGGACCAGGGCCTGGCATGCAGCCCTCATGTTTTCCCATACCTTAGATCATCTGTACCTTGGTCACACCAGTGGGCCTGATGTCCTTGAAAAATACCATAGACGGATGGGCGCAGTGGCTCACGCCTGTAATCCCAGCACTTAGGGAGGCTGAGGCAGGTGATCAACTGAGGTCAGGAGTTTGAGACCAGCCTGGCCAACATGGTGAAACCCCGTCTCTACTAAAAATACAAAAATTAGCTGGGTGTGATGGTGGGTGCCTGTGATCCCAGCTACTTGGGAAGCTGAGGCAGGCAAATCGCTTGAATCCAGGAGGCAGATGTTGCAGTGAGCCAAGATTGCGCCATTGCACTCCAGCTTGGGCAACAGAGCAAGAATCCATCTCAAAAAAAAAAAAAAAAAGAAAAAAAAAAGAAAAATACAATGGAGGGCTGGGTGTGGTGGCTCATGCCTGCAATCCCAGCACTTTGGGAGGGTGAGGTGGGTGGATCACTGGAGGTCAGGAGTTTGGAGCAGCCTGGCCAACATGGTGAAACCCTGTTTATCAAAAAATACAAAAATTAGCCAGGTGTGGTGGTGCACACCTGTAATCTCAGCTACTCGGGAGGCTGAGGCAGGAGAATCGCTTGAACCTGGGAGGTGGAGGCTGCAGTGGGCTGAGATCGTGCGAACTGCACTCCCGCCTGGGCGACAGAGACCATGTTTCAAAAAAACAAAGAAACAAAAAAAACCCACAACCATGGAGACCAAACCCAGGGCCCATCAAAGGGGCCTCTAGAGGCTGGCAGGGCAGAGTCTAAATCCCAGCCATGCCCCTCCCAGCTGTGTGGCCTTGGACAAGCCCCTCAAACCTCTGGCATGTGCAGTCTGGACTTGGGTTCTTCAGGGCCCCCGAACCAACACCAGCCAGCCAGTGCCCACAACTCCCATTTGATGGCAGCCTGGGAGCCCATCTGTTCCTGTCCTGCTGGGCCCACAGGGAACTGGCTACCTCTGATGGATGGGTGGTGGCTGCAGCTGACATTTAGGCTCCAGAGACTGGGCATTGAAACAGGGAGGCCAGAGAGGCTCCCAAGGACAGCAGGTGCTCCTTGCCAAGTGAGGCTCTGCTGGGAGCTCCATTTGCTGGAGGGTCAAGACAGATCTTTGAGGACAGTGTTCCACCATCCCCTGCACCCTTCTTGGCTGAGGCCACAGGGCAGACCCCCACCCCTGGCCCTGCTCTTCCAAGCCCGATCCCACATGAGCAGGCATCCCAGGCACACACTTCTCAGGCACTTTTTATTTCACGCCGTGCGGAGGCCCTTTGTCCCAGATTTGTGGCCATGTGTCCAGGTGTCTGGGGGAGTGGGCCAAGCCTGAGAGAGGAGGGCCCTGCTCCAGAGATCCCCAGGTTGTCCCTGTTGACCTGTAGGGAGGTCTGACTTCAGGCATTGCCCTCCTGGTCCGTGAGCAGTCCTGAGTCACTGGCTCCTGTTCTGTCACATGGGGTGGGTAGTGCCAAGAGCAGCCAGCCTCCTGCAGCCCTTGGCGTCCGGAAGAGTGACAGCCACATTCAAGTCTCCCTGGCATGTGAGGTCTGTGGTGCCCCTGACTCATGTCCTGGCTCCAGCCAATAGCCTAGACCCCCATAGAAGGTTCCAGCACGTCCTCACATGCACATTGGCCAGGTGGCTGTCCCCCGGAGACATGTGTCAGACGGGCACGGGTCAGGTGGCCCAAGTGTCCAAAACTCTCATGGAGGGTCCCAGCCCACTGGCCACCCCAAGCCAACCATAGCAGGGGTCTGAGCCTCAGACGCACAGGGGCCTAGTGGCCTCCGCTCTGACAGCTCAAGTCCAGGTTATAAGGGAGACGGGCAGCGTTAATAGAAAACTTTGTACATACACATATAAAAAACCATTTGGTCTTCCATTAAGGCTGTTACAGTTTAAAGTTACGTAAACCACGTACAAAGAAACGGTTAAACGTACAAAAGGGGAGTGGGGAGATGTGAGGCTGCAGGCGGAGATGTGGCGCTCCCCGCAGGTGCGTCGGTGATTTGGGGGCTGGGTGCGAGGGGGCCTGGCTCCAGCCGGCCTCTCCCTGCCTTGACTCTGCACTTGGGGCCGGTGCCCACCTCACGTCGCTCTTGAGCTTTTGATTCTGGATCCTTCTCTGAGGGCCGAACACTAGCTCTGCAGCTCTGGCGCCCAGCTCCAGTGCAGGGGCCGTCCTCGGACATGCAGACTTTGTCAGCTGTGGCCCTCAGCCATTGGCCTGGCCCGAGGCGGGGGGCAGGCAGTACTTTGGGGGGTCCGAGTACCTTCGCTTGGCCCAGGTGGCTGGCCATCCTCTTCTAGGGGCTCCAGGGCGCCCTGCGTTGGCAGGTGTACCCCGGGCGTGATGTACACGGAATGTACCTGGTCCGGGCGGCGGGCAGGTGGCTCCCGGCGCCGCACTGGGGCAGCCACCTCCCGGGCACCTGGTGCCCAGCAAGGCAGGTGGGAGGGCAGGCCTGGTGGGAGCTTGATGTTGGCCGTGGGCATGATGGGGGTCCGCCGGGGGGTCTTCACTCTGACCGTTACGAAGGACGACGGCCTTCGTCGTGGAGGGGCAGCCACGGCGGGGAGGGGGCTCGGGGCGGGCGCGCCGGGGCAAGGGAGAGCAGGCGCAGGGGGCCCTTTTGAGAGACAGATGGCAGGGTTACTGCAGCTTCAGGGCCGGCAGTCGGAGGACCCTCGCCCTGGGGCCTGCTGGGATGGATGGGAAGGAGAAAAGCAGACGCTACCTTAATACTGACCTTCCGAGGCCCCCCGCCCGGCCCGCTCCTCCAGCAGGCTCTCGGTGCTGGCCGACGTCTCCGAGTCCAGGTTCTCCTCGTCTGAGCCCCTTGGGTCCAGCTCCGGCAGCCGATAGGTGATGTCCTCCCTGGAGGAAAAAGCGTCGTGGTGTCCAAAGCCACTCCACCAAAAGTGCCAGGCCAGTGTGGAACAGAGCAGGCCGTCCTGCTCCTAGATGTAACTCCATGTCCCCAACCTCCCCCCACCCAAGCAAGAAGATTGCTGAGCCCAGGAGTTTGAACCCAGCCTGGGCAACATAGGCAGACCCTGTTCTACAAAAAGTAAATGAATTAGGCAGGCGTGGTGATGTGCACCTGTGGTTCCAGCTACTGGGGAGGCTGAGGTGGGAGGACCCCTTGAGCCTAAGCGATTGCGGCTGCAGTGAACCGTGGATCGCATCACTACAATCCAGCCTGGGTGACAGAGCAAGACCCTGTCTCAGAAATAAAGGCCGAGTATGGTGGCTCACACCTGTAATCCCAACACTTTGGGAGGCCAAGGTGGGGGATCACTTGAGGTCAGGAGTTCAAGACCAGCCTGGCCAATGTGCTGAAACCCTGTCTCTGCTAAAAACACAAAATTAGCTGGTGTGGTGGTGGGCACCTGTAGTCCCAGTTACTTGGAGGCTAAGGCAGAGAATTGCTTGAACCTGGGAGGCGGAGGTTGCAGTGAGCCGAGATCGCACCACTGCACTCCAGCTGGGTGACAAAGCGAGACTCCGTTTCAAAAAAGAAAAAAAGTGTTGTTTGCCCAGTATCAGGGATGACAGGACCAAACCTGGCGAGGCCAAGCGGACCACCAGGGATGGAACCTGCGCTCCAGCTTGCCCTAAACATGAAGGACTGAGGGAGGGGACCGGGCCACTTGCTTCTCCTCCTTGATGGACTGGATCCGTTCAATGAGAATCTCTTTTTCCCGGTCCTCATCGCCACCGGCTGCCTCCTCCTCCAGCAGCACCTCCAGCTCCTCCCCCTGGCTGTCCCGGGCCTTGGGGCTCTTGTTCTGAAAGAAAGCAGCAAGGGGTCTGACTGACTCCTCTGAGTGGGCGAGGTTAGTGCCAGAGGTGTGAGCAGGTCCCAGGTTAGTTCTGATGTGGATGCGCTGGGCTCTTAGTGAGACTTCTCTAGGAATCCCACGGGACAGAGTGGTGGTCGTGTGGCCGATTAGTCGTCCTGGGCACAGAAGCTCAGCAGGCAAGGGGCCTCCCCAGCATGCACTTCTGGAAGGTTAGGACAGGCTCCGTCTATCCTACGAGGGGCCCAGGGCCCCAGGGAACTCCAGCATGCACTGCACCGGGAGACATGCACTGCGGGCCCACCGAACGTGTACATACCAGGACCCCCTCATAGGGAGACGAAAACCCCAGTTTGAGAGGCCATAGCTGGGAGAGAGATGAACACAGGGTGACCACATGGGCCAAGACAGACACAGGCATGAGCTGGGGATACATCCAATGACCAGTACCAAGACAGGGGGTCCCTGGTTCCCACAGGAGCCCAGAGCCCGTTCCCCACTAACGCACCCCTGCACTGTGGGGCTGATTCTTCTGCTCTGGGGACATTTCCCGGGGGCAGAGGGCCCAGGTCAGAAGGGACAAGGCTGAACTGATGACCTGAACCACCAGCAAGTGGGAAACTGGTCCCCCACCTGCCTCACCTAGAGGGACACAATTGGAGTGAGGCTGAGCGAGGACCATCGTCTTTTGTTCAAGGCAGTAAGTCTGCCCCTGCCTGCACGGCCCGGTGGCCCCAGCCAGGCTGGTTATGGCTGTGGCCAAGGGTGTGGTAAGAGTGGGCGGGGAACTGGAAAGGGAGGCCCCACCCGGCTACCCGAGACTACATCCACTACCCAGTCCCATCCTCGGCATGGGAGGTCCCGCCCACCCAAGGCCCCCCTCCCACCAAGACCCCGCCCAACAACCTTCCCAGCAACAAAGCCACGCCAAAGGCCCTGCCCAGCACCAGACCCCGCCCACCAAAGAGGCCCCGCCCCCGCGATCACCGGTACTCACAGCATTTTGTCGCAGGAGCGAAAGCCTGCGGAAGGCGATGCTCTCTGCAGCCTCCAGTTGGCTGATCTCCTCCATCTTCACTTTGTATTTCCTCATCTGCTCCTTGATCAGCATCTCCACGCACCTACAGAGAAGGCCCACGGGAGGAAGTGACTCAGTTACCGCCCCGGGCACATTTGAGGTCCAGGAGTTGGTACCTGGGGGGCAGTGGCTGAGGCTCAGAGACCAAGCAGTGCCTGGGACACGGCTGTGAAGGCTCCCATGCTGTGTGACCTTTAGCAGCTCACTCCACCTCTCTGAGCCTGAGTCTCCTGTCTCTGCACGCCTCCTTGTTTGAAGGAGGGTCAGAGTGAACTGAAGCCCCTAGTCACCAGCAGGGTGGGGATTATCTTGCCTCCCAGAGAAGTCCAAGCTGCTGGGCAGTTTGTCCCAGGGGCAGCAGGCAGATGGCCCCAGGGGCTCCAGACATGTGCTCTGACCCACAGTATGCCCACTTGGTGGTCAAGGCCAGCCTGGTGGTGTCAGTATCAGAGGGTCTCAGCTCGGAGTGGTCAGAACCAGAGGGACTCAGCTTGGAGTGGTCAGAACCAGAGGGACTCAGCTCGGAGTGGTCAGTACCAGAGGGACTCAGCTCGGAGTGGTCAGTACCAGAGGGACTCAGCTCGGAGTGGTCAGTACCAGAGGGACTCAGCTCGGAGTGGTCAGTACCAGAGGGACTCAGCTCGGAGTGGTCAGTACCAGAGGGACTCAGTTTGGAGTGGTCAGTACCAGAGGGACTCAGCTTGGAGTGGTCAGTACCAGAGGGACTCAGTTTGGGTGAGCTCTGTGGTGCGAGCTGCAGGAGCTGCTGCTTGTTCCTTATCCTCCCCTGACAGGACGCTGTGTAGCAGAGACAGGAGTCCACTATCATTCGCCTATCATCCAGCCTTTGCTAAAAGTTCGGTTTTAGTACAATGGGGTGTGCTCATTAAAGCACATTCAGAAAGACACAACTGCTGGGACCATCTGGATAGTTGCTTTTTTTTTTTTTTTTGGAGATGGAGTCTCGCTCTGTCACCCAGGCTGGAGTGCAGTGGCGTGATCTCGGCTCACTGCAACCTCCACCTCCTGGGTTCAAGCAATGGTAAAAGACTGAAAGCTTTCCACCTAAGATAGGAAGCAAGACAAAGATACCCACTTTCACCACTGCTTTTCAATATCGTATTGAAGTTCTAGCCAAAGAAATTCGACATGGAAAAGAAATAAAAAGCAACCATAATGGACAGGAAGAAGTAAAACTATCTCTATATACAGATGACATAATCCCATATAAAAATCTCAAAGAAAGCTACTAGATCTAATAAGTAAATTCAACAAAGTTTCAGAGTACAACATCTGAATTATCCTGCCTCAGCCTCCTAAGCCGCTGGGATTACAGGTGCCTGCCACCACACCTGTCTAGTTTATATATGTAATTTCTTAAAATTTTCTTTTTGAGACGGAGTCTCACGCTGTTGCCCAGCTGGAGTGCAGTGGTGCAATCTCAGCTCACTGTAGCCTCCGCCTCCTGGTAGCTGGCATTATAGGCACATGCCACCAGGCTCAGCTAATTTTTGTATTTTTTCTTCCTTTTTTTGAGACGGAGTTTCGCTCTTGTTGCCCAGGCTGGAGTGCAATGGTGTGACCTCGGCTCACTGCAACCTCCGCCTCCTGGGTTCAAGTGATTCTCCTGCCTCAGCCTCCCAGGTAGCTGGGATTACAAGCATGCGCCACCATGCCCGGCTAATTTTGTATGTTTAGTAGAGACAGGATTTCTCCATGTTGGTCAGGCTGGTCTCGAATTACTGACCTCAGGTGATCCGCCCGTCTCCGCCTCCCAAAGTGCTGGATTATAGGCGTGAGTCAACTTGCCTAGCTTAAGTTTTATATTTTTAATAGAGATGGGGTTTCACCATGTTGGCCAGGCTGGTCTTGAACTCCTGGCCTCAAGGGATCCACCCACCTCGGCCTCCCAAAATGCTGGGATTACAGGCGTGAACCACCATGCCTGGCCTAATTTTTAAATTTTCTGTAGAGACAAAAATTTAAAATTTCAGAATTTTTTGTAGGGTCTCACTATGTTGCCCAGGCTGGTCTCAAACTCCTGGCCTCAAGTGATCCTCTTGCCCTGGCCTCCCAAAGTAGCTGGGATTACAGGTGTGAACCGCTGCACTCGGCTCTGGACTTTTCTTACACATTTATTTACACAGAGATGGATGGAGTTGTCGTGGGGTCCCGGGGCAGGGCGGGCACTCACGTGGTAATCTTGAGGACATCCTTCATGCTGGTCAGGGGGTCCGAGTTGTCAGGGCAGCGCAGGAGGCAGGGTGCGAAGATAATGGCCAGGGCCCCGGGCGACATGCGGTTGACATCCTCGAGCAGGGCCACCCTGCACAGTCACTGGCAGTTAGAGGACGGCTACGGCTGAGGGAGGGAGGTCCCAGGGAGCCCCGAGACTGAACTTCTGAGCCCTGGGGTGCCTGTTAGGAAAGCAGTGCCGCAGCCCAGCGCCGCAAGATGCTTCTGCAGGAAGCAGAGGTACCTCAACGGACCCGGGCGGCCCAGCAGCCTGGCCCCCTCCCAGAACCCACAACAGCGGTCTGCATCCTGGTTCGAAACCACCACAGAACGCCAGCTCGGGTCTCCCTGGGAAATGCTGCCTCGGGGGTTCCCAGTGCGGCCCTAACCCCACAGAGGGCAGGTGGGGAGGCACTTGCTTGACGAGGTGGAAGATGAGTCTCTCCAGGGAGTTGTGGTTGGCTTCCGGAAGGTGCTCCAGGACGGCATAGATGGCAGCCAGCTGCTCCTGCTTCTCTGGCAGCTCTGCAAGCAGTGGGGTTTGAGGGCGTCAGCTCCCAAGGGTCCCCAAGGTGCCTGTTGTCCCCACCAACACGACCTGAGATGCACGGGTGCCATCCACCCTGTGGTGCCCACGCCAAGAATGGATGGCTACAGAGGTGTCCTGGCCCCACCCCAAACTGGGAACCCGGTTTGGCTGGGCCGACTGCTTCGGGCCTCAGTTTCTCAGCTTGTGAACCGGGTGGTCCTGCCTCCTGGGCTGGTTACAGCAAGCGCTGTACCCTGGCCATGGCCACCTGCGGGTGGGGCTCACCAACGGCTCGGAGGAAGTCGCCGTACTGTGCGAAGGTCATGAGGGGCTCAGGCAGCTCCCGCAGCCACTGCTTCAGCACCCCCGTGATGGCATGGATGGGGAAATTCTCCAGCTTGACTGCTGTGGGGTCTGTGGGGTGAGTGGGGTGGGACTGGTGAGCGGCACACTGGTGAGACGGCTGCGCCTGGGGCCTGGCACTGCGCCCACCTGCCCGCAGTGCCCACCTGTCTGCAGCGCCTGCCGGAGCTCCCGAGTGCGGTTGGCGGCGCCCGACTTGCGGTAGAGGCCCTCGGTGTACAGGCCGTGCATCTCCACGTGTTCCAGGAGCTTCTCCAGCACAATGGGCACTGAGGCCTTGTCGCTGGTCAGGCTGTCCACGCACACACCGAAGTGGCCCGGCTCAGCGCCTGGCTCGCCCTGCAGTGCCGGGTGTCGGGGGGTCAGGTCTGGGCCTGGCTGTCTTCCTCTCCAGCTGTCTCTGGGGCCTGTCCCTCCTGGTCCCGCACAAGGCCCTCGGGGCTTCCTCTGCTGTTCTGTCCCTCCCTGTCTCCTTCTGCATAGTTGTTGGGGGTGTGGGGCTGCAGAGGTCAAGGCCAGTGTGGCAGCCACTGGGCAGGAGCTTCCTTTGTAGGCTACCCAAGGCATGGGTGGTCCTTCGTGGGGTGAGAGCTATAACCTGGCCCCCACAGCCGCCTCACAGAAGTAGACCCTGACTCTTGTTGCACCCCTACCACCCAGGACCCCATCCTTATGCACAGAGTTGGGGGGCCTCCCTCTACATGGCTCAGGACTCTCTCGGGAGCAAGGATGAGCAGGGCTGGGGGAGCTGAGACACACACACAGGCCTGGGCCCTGCCTGGGGGCCTCAAGGGGTTTGGACAGAACCAGGGACAATGGTGTGTTCTGCAGAACCAGAGGCCACAGCTGCCCCCTGCTGGCTGCTCAATGCTTCGCTTGGCCCTCACATCAAGCACCACCTCCCGGTGCACCCGGCTCTGAGTGGAGTGTCATTCTAGAGAGTTCCAGGCCTCCTGCACTCACCTTCCTCCCGTAGGTGTAGGAGCAGTGGCTCTGAATCTTGTGCACACACTTCTTGTGGCAGGTCATCTTGCACACTAGGAGGTCACAGGGTGGGAGTCACAGAGGGTGCTGGGGACCCCAGATTCCTGCAGCTGCCCACCCAGCTGGCCGGGGGCCGCCGACTGCCTTTTTTTTTTTTTTTGAGACGGAGTTTCACTCTTGTTGCTCAGGCTGGAGTGCAATGGCGCAATCTTGGCTCACCGCAACCTCTGCCTCCCGGGTTCAAATGATTCTCCTGCCTCAGCCTCCCAAGTAGCTGGGATTACAGGCGTGTGCCACCACGCCTGGCTAATTGTGTATTCTTAGTAGTGACAGGGTTTCTCCATGTTGGTCAGGCTGGTCTTGAACTCCCAACCTCAGGTGACCCGCCCACCTTGGACTCCCAAAGTGTTGGCATTATAGGCGTGAGTCACCGCACCCGGCCTGGATTGCCTTCTTTTTGGTTTTTGGTTTCCTTTTTTTCGTTTTGAGACAGGGCCTCACTCTGTCACCCAAGCTAGAGTGCAGTGGTGCTATCATAGCTCACTGGAGCCTTGACCTCCCAGGCCCAGGTGATCCTCCCAAGTAGCTGGGACTACCTCCCAAGTAGCCATGCCTGGCTAATTTCTGTATTTTTTGGTTTAGACTGGGTCTTGCCATGTTGCCCAGGTTGGTTTAGAACTCCTGAGCTCAAGCGACCCTCCCTCCCCGGCCTCCCAAAGTGCTGGGATTACAGGTATGAGACACTGTGCCTGGCCTGCCGACTTCTAAACCCACACTGCAGGCACCTGCGCCCTGACTCCTGAGAGAGGAGGCCGTGTGGGCAGGCTTCAGAGCTCAAGGTGGCCATTCGTGGCCTCAGACCCAGTCTGGCTAGTGGAACCACGAGCACGTGTTTGTGGGGACCTGTGACATCCTTGCCCCAGGGCCTCAGGGCCAACTCCTGGCAGAACTAAAGGTCTAAAAGTCCTGCCAGGAGGTGGTTTTGGGGACTTGGGATGAGGATGTCATGGGGCAAAGACAATGCTACTTTTCCTTCTTCCAACCACACTGAATCCCAGGCCACCCAGCTGACGTCTTGGGAGAGGGTACACTGGCTACGCTAAAGAAGAGAGTGTCTGGCACCTGGGAAGGATGGAATCAGGTGAGGGGACGGGCCTGGGTCCCGCATCTGTGTCTCAGGACCATGACAACTGACTGTTGGACAGATGTGGGGTGGTGGGGCTGCTTTCTGGGCTGAAAAGACCCTGGCCCGACTGGTTCTGGCAGAAACACACATACGGGAGAGGCCTTTTTTTTTTTTTTTTTTTTTTTTTTTTTTTGAGACGGAGTCTCGCTGTGTCACCCAGGCTGGAGTGCAGTGGCGCGATCTCGGCTCACTGCAAGCTCCGCCTCCCGGGTTTACGCCATTCTCCTGCCTCAGCCTCCGAGTAGCTGGGACTACAGGCGCCCGCCACCACGCCCGGTTAGTTTTTTGTATTTTTAGTAGAGACGGGGTTTCACCATGTTAGCCAGGATGGTCTCGATCTCCTGACTTCGTGATCCACCCGCCTCGGCCTCCCAAAGTACTGGGATTACAGGCTTGAGCCACCGCGCCCGGCCTGGGAGAGGCCCTCTTGGCCCTGCTGGGCCTCTGGAGGCTGCCTGGGCTTGGGTCCTGGCTTGGCCACCTCAAAGCTGTGTGACCATGGATCGGCTGGGTCATTCCTGGGCCCTGTCTGTCTCTTAGGGTCCCCTGGGGCTGAGTCTGGCCTACAGGGGAGGGACCATGAGGAGCCTGGGGAAGGAGGGGCCAGTGGTTCAGGTGGTGGAGCAGCGTATACACAGACAGAGAGGCAGGGCCCAGGAGGAGAGGAGGCTGCAGATGGGGGTGGACGCTGGCTACTGGGGGCCTCAGGGCCAGCTGAGAATTGGGCTCTGCCCCTCGGGTGATGGTGGACAGTTTGAGGGGGTGGGATATGGCTGGGGCAACGGTCCAGAAAGATCTGACCTGGTGGCTGGGCTGGGGTGAAGACCCTTTTTTTGGTTTTTGAGACTGAGTCTTGCTCTGTTGGCCAGGTTAGAGTGCAGTGGCGTGATCCCGGCTCACTGCAACCTTTGCCTCCCAGGTTCAAGTGATTCTCCTGCCTCAGCCTCCTGAGTATCTGGGATTACAGGTGCCCACCACCGTGCCCAGATAATTTTTGTATTTTTAGTAGAGATGAGGTTTCACCATCTTGGCCAGGCTGGTCTCGAACTCCTGACCTCGCTATCCCCCTGCCTCGGCCTCCCAAAGTGCTGGGATTACAGGTGTGAGCCATTCTGCCTGGCCCTGAAGCCCTCTTGAGCAGTGAGGGGTGGTGGGGGACGTGGAGGGGTTTGGGGCCTGGGCGGGGAGCCACTCACCACTGCAGAGCAGGGCCTTGTCCATGAGCCAGATATAGGAGAGGCACTGCTCGCACGACTGCGGGATGCTAACCTGGTAGCTGGCGAACACGTGCCCGTTGTGCTCCTGGACCTGTGAGGCCAGAGAAGGGCGCTGGGCGGGGGAAGGGGAAGGCAGCCCTCCCCAGCCACTGGTGGATGATGGCCCACGGGATCTCAGGGGTGGGTCTGCTTATTCAAGACTACAGCTCCGTATGTGCTGGGGAGAAAACACACTCACACGTATCCACGCACACATACGTGTGCAGACGGGCCCATGCACACACTGACACTGACACACACGTGCACGCTCCTGCCAACGTTCGCCTGCTGGGACTGTCATCCACGTGCAGCCTACTCACAGCGCGCTCCTGCTTCCGCTTCTTCTTCTGAGCTTTGCTCTGCTGTGAGGAACACAAGGAGGAGGTCGACGGGGGCCCCCTGGGAAGTGACCCAACCCACCCCTGGCACCCCATAACCCAGGAATCTGGGTACCCTGAACCCTCCCTCACATGGAGTGGCATCATTGTCCCTAACACCCCCCATTCAGACACCCCACGCCCAGAAGTGAGGCCCTGTTGGGGACGGTGCAGGACTCCCCACCAGGAGGTAGGCGTAGCACAAATGGGTGTGGCATGTAATCATGGCAAGCGATGGGTAGGCATAGCATGTTGCATGTCATGGGCGTGGCATGGGTGGGCGTGGCATATCAGGTGGGTGTGGCATAAGTGATCATGGCAAGGCACAGGTAAGCATGGTGTAAGTGATCATGGCATGGCATGGTGGGCGTGGTATGGGCAGGGCATGGGTGGGCGTGGCATGCCAGGTGGGCTTGGTGTAAGTGATCATGGCAAGGCATGGGTGGGCGTGGCGTGCTGGGCTGCCCACCTTCACTGGCTCGAAGTCATTCTTGGTGTAGCCACGGGTGAACTCATCTAGCAGTGACTGGAAGAGGTTGAGGACCAGGTTGGTGTCCTTCTCGCCGCGCTCAGTGGCCAGGTTGCTGACGACGATCTGGTAGTTCTCCATCAGATCCTTGTAGCCCACGTGGATCTTCCCGTTCTGTGGGAATGCTAGGCGTCACCCCGCAGGCCCGGGCAAGGGGCGGATGGGAATGACGGGTCTGAGCAGGGTATGGGAAAGGCTGAAGGCCGGGCCGCCACATACCGGGACAGAGTACATCGTTTTGATGTTGCTCCTGAACTTCTCGGTGGCTTCGATAAACAAGCTCTCGATGGGCGTCTTCTGGGAACGGAGGTCATTTATCTGGAAGGGGAGAGGAGCTGACCCTGCGTGCCTCAGGCCTGGGGAACTGCGTACCCGAGGAGGTGCCCAACGGGTCACTTGTATCCTCTCTTAAGTCATCCCCTAGGCTCTTGGGATAAAATCCAGTCCCTCTGACCAAGCCTGATCTCTCCTCTCAGAGTTATGAATGTCAGAGTTATAAAGCCACTGATATTCACGGCAGGACTACTCTCCACAGTGGGGCCTGCCCTGTGCGCCACAGCCGGTTAAGCAGCATCCCTGGCCTCTACCCACCAGAGGCCAGCAGCGCCCTCCCTCCAGGTTGTGATAACCCCAATGTCCCCAGACATTGCCAGTGTTCCCTGGAGGGCAGAATCCCCCCTAGATGAGAGCTACAGGTCAGTTCAGGGCCTTCCTGCTGCCCCACACAGGGGTTCAACACCCAGCCATACCTTAGGACCGGGATGTCTGGAATGGTCTGGTCATTTCGAGATGCCTCTACTCCTAGCAGGGTTTCCTGATCCTTCTGTGTCCCCATCGACCCCCTGTGGCCGCTGTGCAGCTCCCAAACGTAGCTCTATCTGCTGCAGGATTGCCCAACCCCCACCCCCATGGGGTATAACCCTCCTGAAGGCAGCCACAGCTTGCTCGCCTCCACTTCCGTTGCACACAGTGCTTCATCAATCTTTGCTTTGAGACCAAATATGCATCATTATTATTTTTGAGCCAGGGTCTGCTCTGTCGCCCAGGCTGGAGTGCAGTGCTGCGATCATGGCTCGTGGTGCCTCAACCTCTTGGGCTCAAGCGATCTTCCTGCCTCAGCCCCCAGAAGCTGGGACTACAGGTGTGTACCACCACACCAGCTAAAATCTAAACCTTTTGTAGAGATGGGGTCTTTCTGTTGCCCAGGCTGGTTTTGAACTGCTGGGCCCAAGTGATTCTTCTGCCTCAGCCTCCCAGGGTGCTGGGATGACAAACATGAACCGCTGTCCCCGGCCTGAGCCTGCACTTTGTATTCTTGACCTGCTAAGCCCTGTGGTGTGTGTTTCAGAAAGCACTGCCTGGCTGTGATGGTTCCCCTGCGGACCGGGCCTCATGCCCCTGGCTCTCCCCTAGTGGTCCCACCTTGTTGAGCAGGAACTCGTCCAGGTACTTGAGCTCATTGGCGTTGGTGATCTGGCGGAATACCGATTCCCGCCACTTCTCTGACACCGTGATCTTCCCAATCTTGACGTTTCGGTTCTTCTTCCCTTTGCCTCCTGGCTCCTTGGTGCGCTTCTCACCTGCGGCGTGGCGGTGCTGGTGTCCGGAGGGGGCTGAGGATGGGACAGGAAGCAGCTGGTGAGGGTGGGTTTGGGGGAAGGATGCAGAGGACCTCCTACGGCATGCCTTTATCCAGGGCCAGAAACCCCTGGCTTTGTGCCTAGGGTTTGGCCCACAGCCAACTCAAGGCCCCATTTGGGGACAATGAATGTCCCCAGGGACACTGGTGGCTCTGCTGTCCCTGAGGCTGCAGGTGACCAACCTTCCAGGCCCTTCTTCATGGTGGCAGTTTCCAGCACCACGTGCCCGGACACAGCATTCTCCAACTCCTCCACGCCCTCCAGGCTGTATTTTTTATCCTTGGTTTTATGCAGAAATAGCCTCTTAAACGTGGATCTGCTGGAGAAAGTACATGGCTTAAGTCTGAAGTGAGAATGGACGTGAGGCCCAGCCTCCCTGTGATTGGACACATGGCAAATGCTCTATCATTGCCTGACTCAAAAAAGGATCTGGGCCGGGCGCGGTGGCTCAAGCCTGTAATCCCAGTACTTTGGGAGGCCGAGGCGGGTGGATCATGAAGTCAGGAGATCGAGACCATCCTGGCTAACATGGTGAAACCCCGTCTCTACTAAAAATACAAAAAACTAGCCGGGCGTGGTGGCGGGCGCCTGTAGTCCCAGCTACTCGGAGGCTGAGGCAGGAGAATGGCGTAAACCCGGGAGGCGGAGCTTGCAGTGAGCCGAGATCGGGCCACTGCACTCCAGCCTGGGTGACACAGCGAGACTCCGTCTCAAAAAAAAAAAAAAAAGGGATCTGGCCTGGCGTGGTAGCTCACGCCTCTAATCCCAGCACTTTGGGAGATCGAGGCATGTGGATCAACTGAGGTCAGGAGTTCAAGACCAGCCTGGCCAACATGGCAAAACCCTGTCTCTATTAAAAATACAAAAAATTAGCCGGGCGTGATGGGTTCCTGTAGTCCCAGCTATTTGGGGAGGTTGAGGCAAGAGAATTGCTTGAACCCAGGAAGCGGAGGTTGCAATGAGCTGAGATCGCACCATTGCACTCCAGCCTGGGTGACAGAGTGAGACTCTGTCTCAAAAAAAAAAAAAAAAAAAAAGAAAGAAAAAACCACGGATCTGGCTAGGTATGGTGGCTCTCACGCCTGTGTAATCTCAGCACTTTGGCAGGCTGAGGTGGGTGGATCAGCTGAGCCCAGGAGTTTGAGACCAGGCTGGGCAATATAGTGAAACCCCTTCTGTACCAAAAGTACAAAAAAAAAAAAAAAAACAAAAAAATTAGCCGTGCATGGTGGTGCACACACGTAATCCCAGCTACTTGGGAGGCTGAGGCAGGAGAATCGCTTGAGTCTGAGAGGTGGAGGTTGCAGTGAGCTGAGATCATGTCATTGCACTCCAGACTGCCAGACTGGGCAACACAGTGAGATTGTTTCAAAAAAAAAAAAAAAAAAAAAGGATCATCTTATAAAGAGCAATAGCCCTTTCTTTGTACTGGCAGAGGAGTTACGTGAAGAAAGAAGGATACCAAACAGAAGCCACAGGGGGACTCCATTTTCTTTTCTTTTTTGTTCCAGTTGGGGTGTCACTCTGTCACACAGTGTGGAGTGCAGTGGTGTGATCGTAGCTGACTACAGCCTCAAACTCCTGGCCTCATGAGCACAATCCTCCCACTTCAACCTCCTGAGTTGTTGGGATTATAGGTACGAGCCATGCGCCTAGCTCATTATCTTTTTTTTTTTTTTTTGAGACGGAGTCTCGCTTTGTCGCCCAGGCTGGAGTGCAGTGGTGCGATCTCTGCTTACTGCAAGCTCTGCCTCCCGGGTTCCCGCCATTCTCATGCCTCAGCCTCCGAGTAGCTGGGACTACAGGCGCGCACCACCACGCCTGGCTAATTTTTTTGTATTTTTAGTAGAGACGGGGTTTCACCGTGTTAGCCAGGATGGTCTCGATCTCCTGATCTCGTGATCCGCCCGCCTCGGCCTACCAAAGTGCTAGGATTACAGGTGTGAGCCACCGCGCCTGGCCAGCTCATTATCTTTTAAGTTAGAAAAAGTTTTTTTAGAGACAGAGTCTCATTCTCTTGCTCAGGCTGGAGTGTAGTGGTATGATCACAGTTCACTGCAGCCTTGAACTCTTGGCCTCAAGGGATCCTCCTGTTTCAGCCTCCGGAGTAGCTGGGACTACAGGCATGCACCGTCCTGCCTGGCTATGTTTTGACATTTTTTTTATAGAGACAAGGTTTTGCCACACTGCCCAGGTGGTCTTGAACTCCTGGCTTCAAGTGATCATCCCACCTTGGCCTCCCAAAGTGTTGGGATTACCGGTATGACCCACGGCATCCATCCAGTCATGTGTCCTTTTAAGGGACAGACGACAGAAGATAGACACAGAGGGGAAGGCCAAGTGCTGATAGAGACAGAGATTAGAGTAATATAGCCATAAGTCAAGGAACACCTGGAGCCCCCAAAAACCAGAAGAGGCGGGAAGGATTCTGCCCTAGAGGCTTTTTTTTTTTTTTTTTTTTTTTGAGACGGAGTCTCGCTCTGTTGCCCAGGCTGGAGTGCAGTGGCCGGATCTCAGCTCACTGCAAGCTCCGCCTCTGGGGTTCACGCCATTCTCCTGCCTCAGCCTCCCGAGTAGCTGGGACTACAGGCGCCCGCCACATCGTCTGGCTAGTTTTTTGTATTTTTTAGTAGAGACGGGGTTTCACCGTGTTAGCCAGGATGGTCTCGATCTCCTGACCTCGTGATCCGCCCGTCTCGGCCTCCCAAAGTGCTGGGATTACAGGCTTGAGCCACCGCGCCCGGCCTTTTTTTTTTTTTTTTTTGAGACGGAGTCTCGCTCTGTCGCCCAGGCTGGAGTGCAGTGGCCGGATCTCAGCTCACTGCAAGCTCCGCCTCCCTGGGTTCACACCATTCTCCTGCCTCAGCCTCCCGAGTAGCTGGGACTACAGGCGCCCGCCACCTCACCCGGCTAGTTTTTTGTATTTTTTTTAGTAGAGACGGGGTTTCACCGTGTTAGCCAGGATGGTCTCGATCTCCTGACCTCGTGATCCGCCCGTCTCGGCCTCCCAAAGTGCTGGGATTACAGGCTTGAGCCACCACGCCTGGCCAGCTTTTTTTTTTTGAGATGGAGTCTTCCTCCGTCACCCAGGCTGGAGTGCAGTGGTGTGATCTCGGCTCACTGCAACCTCCACCTCCCGAGTTCAAGCGATTCTCCTGCCTCAGCCTTCCGAGTGGCTGGGATTATAGGTGTGTGCAATCATGCCCAACTAATTTTTGTATTTTTAGTACAGATGGGGTTTCACCATGTTGGCCTGGCTGGTCTCCAACTCCTGACCTCAAGTGATCCATCCGTCTCGGCCTCTCAAACTGCTGGGATTACAGGCGTGAGCCACCACGCCTGGCTGCCTCATGCAGTTTCTACTGAGCAAATGCCTTCGCGAACGTGCTTTGTAAGTATGATTGGTTTAGGAGGCCACAATGCTGCGAGGCCCTGGCAGGGACCCCGGGCATCCTCTGGTGGCCTGAGTTCCCCGCAAGCCCCATACTTACTTAGAGTCGACCTGAGAGCCCGGGGACAGCCCTGCGTCTGGGATGGAGGATGCGTCACCTGACTTCTTCTTCTGGACAGCCGGCTTCTTTGTGCTTCGCTCTCCGTCTGTGGTTTCTGTTGCAGGCTGCAAGATGGTGCGGGGAGGGCTGCTAAGGAAAGGCTGGCAGGCCTGTACTAGATGGTGAAGCCCCTGCAGGCATTTACACTCCATCCACCCACCTCACTTCCCGCTTTTTTTTTTTTTTTCTTTGAGACGGAGTCTCACTCTGCTGCCCAGGCTGGAGTGCAGTGGCTTGGTCTCAGCTCACTACAACCTCCGCTCTGCCATCGGGTTCGAGCGATTCTCTTGCCTCAGCCTCCAGAGTAGCTGGGGTTACAGGCACGCGCCACCACACCTGGCTATTTTTTGTATTTTTAGTAGAGATGGGGTTTCGCCATGTTGTTGTTACCTGAGCCTTGGCCGGGGATGGGAGGAGCTTGGAGACATCGCTCGTGGAGAAGGAGATGCGCCTCTCCCTGCGAGATCACAGAAACATGGCTTTTACTGACTAGAGCGAGTCAGTGGCATTCTCTTGTCTCAGTGGTTCTTAGGTTCTCACTTGGGCAGTTGTGACCCTGCCAGGGGACACTTGGCAATGTCTAGAGAGTTTTGGTTGTCACCACTGAGGTGGGGGGAAAGGAGTGGGTGGGTACTTCTGGCATCTGGTGAGTAGAGGGCAGGGATGCTACTCAATACCCTACAGAGAATGGTCTCCACTCCAGAGTGGTCCAGCCCCAGATGTTGAGTGTGAAGGGTAGGAAACCTTGCCTTAGCCCAAGAGAGCCTGTCTGCCTGCCTGCCTATCTATCTATCTATCTATCTATCTATCTATCTATCTATCTATCCATCCATCCTTCTACTCATTATCTATCCATCCATCCATCCATCCTTCTACTAATTGTCTATCTAATCTATCTATCCATCCATCCATCTATCCTTCTACTCATTGTCTATCTATCCATCCGTCCATCCTTCTACTAATTGTCTATCTATCCATCCGTCCATCCTTCTACTACTTGTCTATCTATCCATCCTTCTACTAATTATCTATCCATCCATCCTTCTACTCATTGTCTCTACCTTCCACCCATCCATCCTCTTTATCTGTCTTCCATCTATCTCTTCATCTATTATCTCTACCTATCTTTATTTTATTTTTATTTTTTTAGATGGAGTTTTGCTCTTGTTTGCTCAGGTTGGAGTGCAATGGCGTGATCTCGGCTCACTGCAACCTCCGCCTCCCAAGTTCAAGTGATTCTCCTGCCTCAGCCTCGCGAGTAGCTGGGATTACAGGCATGCGCCAACACGTCCGGCTAATTTTTGTATTTTTAGTAGAGACGGGGTTTTGCCACGTTGGCCAGGCTGGTCTCAAACTCCTGACCTCAGGTGATCCATCCGGCTCAGCCTGGGATTCTAGGTGTGAGCCACCACACCCGGCTCTACTTATCTTCTACCCATCCGTTCCTCCATCATCTCTATCTTCCATCCATAATGTCTACCTATCTTCTCTCCATCCCTCCATCCATCAGCTCTCTATCTTCTAGCCATCTACCCATCCTTCTGTCTGTCCATCCATCCATCATCTCTACCTATCTTCCGTCCCTCCATTCATCGTCTCTACCTATCTTCCTTCCATCCATAATCTCTACCCATCTTTTTTTTTTTCAGATGGAGTCTCATCTCCGTCACACAGGTTGGAGTGCAGTGGCTTGATCTCAGCTCACTGCAACCTCCGCTTCCCAGGTTTAAGCGATTCTCCTGTCTCAGCCTCCCGAGTAGCTGGGATTACAGGCATGTGCCACCACGCCCAGCTAATTTTTGTATTTTTAGTAGAGACAGAGTTTCATCATGTTGGCCAGGCTGGTCTCGAACTCCTCTCAAACTCTCGGCCTCCCAAAGTGCTGGGATTACAGGCGTGAGCCATTGCGCCCAGCCTAATCTCTACCCATCTTCTATCCATCCATCATCTGTACCATCCATCCATCTATCCATCCATGCCTCTATCCATCATTACTACCTGTTTTCTATCTATCTATCCCTTCATCCATCATCTGTATCTGTCTTCCATCGCCTCTATCCATTTTCCATCCATCCATCCCTCCATCATCTCTATCTTCCTTCCATCCATCCCTCCATCATCTCTATTATCCATCCATCCATCCATCCACTCACCCACCCATCCACACATCCTTCCCTTTCTCTCTCCCTCACTCCATCCATCATCTATTTATGATACTCCTGGCACGTGGTAAGTGGAGGCCAGGGATGCTGCTCAACATCCTATGATACACAGGACAGCCCCACTGCAGAGAATGATCCGGCCCCCAATACAAGCAGTGGGAGGCTGAGCAGGCCTGCTGCAGGGAAGGCCTGTCTCCTGCCTGACTGCTTTCCTTTGGTCCTGCAGGCCCTCTGGAAGAGGGAGCTGGAGATTCCAAGTCACCGACACTTGGCTTACTAAGGCTCAGGCAGAGCGAGCCCCTGCTCTTTTAACCCCAAGGAGTATAGTTAGTCCTGTTCACCAATTAGAAACCAAGGCCCAAGATTGCTGGGGAGCAGGGACCTTGACCTGAGGAGCCACCTCCCTCAAGGCCAGGACCTTTCTATATGAGCACAGCTCCTTCTGGGGACCCCTCAAGGCTCCGGGTCCCAGCCTGGGCCCTGGCTGGGTGCCTTGTTTTCACTTGGCCTTTAGCATGCCCTGCCTGTCCTCCTCCCTCAGGGCTCCCGCACACCCACTGGGCATGATCACACACGTGTTTCCAGGATGTGTGGTACTGCCCCTGGCCTTGCCCACCTGGTCTGGACCCTGGTGCTCAGACAGAAGAGGGTGTGGGGCTTACTCTGTGGGCGTGAGGGCGGCCCCTGTGGCCCGGTGTCTGTCGCTGAGGTCCAGGGACTGGCTGAGCATGGCACTAGGGCTGGCAGCGGCCACCAGCTTTTTGCCCCGCCACAGCTCCACGGCGCTGGCCAGCCGCTCGGAGTCCAGGTACCGCTGGATCTGTGTGGAGCCTCCGGGGCTGTCGGGCTTTTCCTGAACCCTTGGGCTGCCACAAGGTTTGCTCTTGTCCTCGGGGGTCTCGGGGGTGCTGCCGGGGGCTGGTGGGCTGATCCTGCTGTCCAAGGCCAGGCTGGTCGGTCGCTCCACCTGGCTGGGCCTGGGGCTCCCAGCCGGCAGCGTCTTCTCGGTTTCTTCAGAGACCTTGCCAACTGCCATGGCCTCGGGTTGCTCTGTGGGCTGCTTTTGGGACGTGTTCTCAGCCTCCGTCTCTACGATTAGAAGGGTTTCATCTTCTCTGCTCTCCTTTTTGTCTTCCAGGAGACTCACCCCTTGCTCCTGGGTGACCCTTCTGGAAGTTTCTCTGAGGGCGCTCTCCTCCTTGCAGGACTGAATGTGTTTGTTCTGGAACTTGACGTGCTCCAGCCCTCTTTGCCGACGCGACTCACGCTTCTCCCGGCTGCTGGGGACTTTCTCGTGACTTTCAGTGGCCACGGTTTTCTGGGGCGGGAGAGTCTTCTCCGGGCTCAGGGCCTCCTTCTCAGGTGAGGAGTGCTCTGGCGGGGACCTGTCACTTGGCCACACCTCAGGCTCTGATGCCAGGTGCCTGCCATCCTCTGCCGGCTCTGGCCCCTGCTCAGCTACCTGCTGCCCGCCGGCCGCCTGACCCAGCCCGCCCTCCTCAGCGCCTGCTCTTTCGGCTTCCAGGGCTTCCCTCTCCTTCTCCTCTGCCTTCTGCTTCTCCAAGATCATCTGGCTGAAGCTGGAGTGAGGAAAAAGCAGACAGCTGGTTCAGAAACAAACCTTCCTTCCACCTCCCACTGAGTTCCGATGGGACCCCCAGCCTGTGGGCTGCAGACGGGGCTTCGCCTGTGCCTAGTGGCCCTGAGAGATGTTTCTGGAAAGCAGGAATCTCCTCGATCAGGAAAGGAGGCTGAGGGTGGTGCCCCCTCAGTGTCACAGATACTCCTGCCCTGTGTCTGCCTGGCTGCCTTGTTAGGGGAGAGGACCCTTGTTGGGGCTGTGGTGGGTGGGTTCTGTTAAGAAGCCTCAAACTCGTTTGGGGTCCACTGTGGGCTTTCCCTTGAGTCTTTTTCTAGGAGGCTTTTTGTTTTGTTTTTATTTTTATTTATTTTATTTTATTTTTGAGACAAAGTCTCACTCTGTCATCCAGGCTGGAATGCAGTGGCACTATCTTGGCTCGCTGCGACCTCTGCCTCCCAGGTTCAAGTGATTCTTGTGCCTCGGCCTCCCCAGTAACTGAGATTATAGACATACACCACCACGCCCGGCGAATTTTTGTATTTTTAGTAGAGATGAGGTTTTGCCATGTTGGCCAGGCTGGTCTCAAACTCATGTGATCTGCCTGCCTTGGCCTTCCAAAGTGCTGGCCTTACAGGTGTGAGCCAATACGCCCAACCTTTTTGGTTTTTAGAGACAGTGTCTGACTCTGTCACTCAGGCTGGAGTGCAGTGGTGTGATCATAGCTCACTGCAGCCACCACATCCCAGACCCAGGTGATCCTCCTGCCTCAGCTTCCTGAATAGCTGGGGCTACAGGTGTGCATCACCACACCTAGCTAACTTTTTAATTTTGTGTAGAGATGGCATCTTGCTATGTTGGCCAGGCTGGTCTCATACTCCTGGGCTCAAGTGATCCTCCCACCTAAGCCTCCCAAAGTGTTGGGATTACAGGCATGAGCCATTGCACCTGGCCTAGGAGGCTTATTTGCACATGTGGGTAGGGCCTGCTCTGGGAGCTGGGATGTGACCTGTGGCAGAGCTGGGTCTGTGTGGCAGGGGAGAGGTGCACAGGGTGCCTAGGTCAGGGAGGGGCTGGGCTTGTAGCTGTGGGTGCCGGGACGGGAGTTGCTGATATCTTGCTGGGGGTTCTCTGTGCCTGGTGGATGCCCCAGCTCCATGTTGAGTGTTGGGCTGGTCCAGGCGCTCCCTCCAACCCTGAATCCAGGTGCTCCCTGACCGATCCAGGTACAGGGGAGTCCCTGGGCAGAGAATGGGTGCAGCCAATGGCAAAGCAGAGCTTTGTCCCTGAGTGCTGCCTGCCAGCCTCAGAGCCCCTCTCTGTAGCCCATGTGTGTCCAGGCATCTAGTTTCCCACCAACCCTTCCCTGTGTCCAGAATGACATCCCCTTAGTGCCACAGGCCAGATGGTATATCATGGGCAGCAATTTGGTGAGTGACCCTTTTGGCTTCTGGAATATTCTGGGGAGCGTGGCCTGGCTCTGCTCACCTCTTGCGCTGCAGGTGCCCCCGGCAGAGGCTCTGCAGGCGGATGATGCTCTGTTTCCGGCGCCGGTAGAGCTTCCGCTGCCAGTAGCCCCTCCATGCGGCCTGGAGGTACACCGCGGCCTGCGTCCTCTCCAGAGCCCTCCGGACCCGGTAGGACCGCCAGCAGGCCTGGATGGTGACGGCGGCCCGCTTCATCTGCAGGAAGTGCCGACGCTCCAGCACCATCCGAAACCAGCTCTGCAGCAGCAGGATTTTCCGCACCACCTCCCGGTGTAGCGTCTCCTGTAGGGCTTGCCGCTCCGTCTCCTTCAGGAAGACCTGGTGGGCACGGGGTCAGGTGGGGTCAGCCGCGCTGCCCCTGACACCACCTCTGTGCCTGGGAGGTCTGCATAGCCCACTCCAGAGTGAGACCCAGGCTGCTGTGCTGACCAACCAGGGCTTTATTTATTTATTTATTTATTTATTATTATTTTTTTGAGATGGAGTCTCACTCTGTCGCCCAGGCTGGAGTGCAGTGGCGCCCTCTCGGCTCACTGCAACCTCTGCCTACTGGGTTCAGGTGATTCTCCTGCCTCAGCCTCCTGAGTAGCTGAGACTACAGGTGCCCATCACCAGGCCTGGCTAATTTTTGTATTTTTAGTAGAGACAGGGTTTCACCATGTTGGCCAGGCTGGTCTCGAGCTCCCAACCTCAATTGATCTGCCCACCCTGGCCTCCCAAAAATGCTGGGATTACAGGCATGAGCTATTGCACCTAGGTGTGGCTCTGTTTTTTTTTTTGAGATGGAGTCTCACAGGCTAGAGTGCAGTGGTGCGATCTCAGCTCACTACAACCTCTGCCTCCCGGGTTCAAGCGATTCTCCTGCCTCAGCCTCCTGAGTCGCTGGGACTACAGGTGTGTGCCTGTAATGAAACTCTGTCTCTACTGAAAATATAAAAATTAGTCAGACGTGGTGGCGGGCACCTGTAATCCCAGCTGCACGGAGGCTGAGGCAGGAGAATCACTTGAACCTGGGAGGTGGAGGTTGCAGTGAGCTGAGATCGCACCACCAGTCTGGGTGACAGAGTGAGACTCTGTCTCAAAAATAAAAACAAGAAAGAAAAAGAAATGAGGTCTCGCTTGGTCACCCAGGCTGAAGTGCAGTGGTGCAATCACAGCTCACTGCAGTCTCAAACTCCTGCCACAGCCTGCCAAGCAGTTGGGACCACAGGTGCATGCCATCATGCTTGGCTAATTTTTAAATACTGTATAAAGACGAGGTCCCGCTATGTTTCCCAGGCTAGTCTGACACTCCTGGGCTCAAGGGATCCTCCCACCTCAGGCTTTCAAGTAGCTGGGACTCTGGGCGCGTGCTACCTCGCTTGGCTGGAAGGGAATTTTTTTACACCGGGTGAGGCCTTTGGGGGACTGACCTTGGCACTTGTTAAACAAGGGTGGCTGAATAATGCCCCCACAGCAAGAGGCAAACACATGCCCAGAGATGGGAGACGATCTCTGAAAGGGACGACAATTGCAGGCCGCCTCCCACCTGATACTGTAAAGGGGATGGACCAGCTCCTAAATCCTGCCAGTTAGCATGATCGTCCCTTTCCTACCTGTGACGCAGCAATAAACAGGTGATGCAGAGGGAGTCTCTGAGCCCCGCTGAAGAGCAGCAGGTGGGGCTCAGCCAGGGCGGCCCCTATCCCTTAGGTGCAGTATTCTGCTGGGTCCCTAGAAATGCATTTCCTAGACAGAGCCCTGTATGTTTCAGAGAGTGGCCCTGGGGGCCTGGGAAGACACGGTGTGCGGTGGAAGGCAGGGTGTGGGTTTGCAGTGCCCCGAGGGGCAGGAGCACTGACCTTGGTCTTCCCGATCTGGTAGTTCCTCTTGTCTACCTTCATCTTCTCCAGGAGGGTCGAGATGACCTCCCTGCAGGGCTGGGCATCCTTGGGCAGGAGCACCTGGAACTGCTCGGTGAAATCCTACATTATTTGGGCAGAGACAGGAGAATCTGGGTGAGTGTTGTGGCCAGTGATGAGGAGACGGGGATCTGGTGACCCCGGTTAAGGTGAAATTGGGCTTGATGGGAATGGTAATGACAAATCTGAAATTTCAGGCTTTCAGAAATAGTCTGGGCTGGACATGGTGGCTCACACCTATAATCTCAGCACTTTGGGAGGCCGAGGCGGGTGGATCACCTGAGGTCAGGAGTTCGAGACCAGCCTGGCCAACATGGTGAAACCCCATCTCTACTTAGCTGAGCATGGTGGCACACACCTGTAGTCCCAGCTACTTGGGAGGCTGAGGCAGGAGAATCATCTGAACCTGGGAAGCTGAGGTTGCAGTGAGCCAAGATCACGTCATTGCAATCCTCCTGCCTCAGTCTCCCCGGAAGCTGGGAGTACAGGTACTTAGTCCTGTAGCCACCACGCCCAGCTAATTAAAAAAAAAATTTTGGGCCAGGCGCGGTGGCTCAAGCCTGTAATCCCAGCACTTTGGGAGGCCGAGATGGGTGGATCACGAGGTCAGGAGATCGAGACCATCCTGGCTAACCCGGTGAAACCCCGTCTCTACTAAAAAATACAAAAAACTAGCCGGGCGAGGTGGCGGGCACCTGTAGTCCCAGCTACTCGGGAGGCTGAGGCAGGAGAATGGCGTGAACCCGGGAGGCGGAGCTTGCAGTGAGCCGAGATCCGGCCACCGCACTCCAGCCTGGGCAACAGAGCGAGACTCTGTCTCAAAAAAAAAAAAAAAAAAAAAATTTTTTTGTAGGGACAGGGTTTCACCATGTTGCCCAGGCTTGTCTCAAACTCCTGAGCTCAACCTATTAGACCAGCCTAGCCAACATGACAAAACCCTGCATCTACCAAAAATTAGCCAGGCATGGTGGCAGGCGCCTGTAGTCCCATGTACTGGGGAGGTGGAGGCAGGATAATCACTTGAACATGGGAGGCAGAAGTTGCAGGGAGCCGAGACGCCACTGCACTCCAGCCTGGGCGACAGAGTGAGGCTCTGCCTAAAAATAAAAAAAGAAAAAAGACATGGGTTCTTAGCGGGGTGCAGTGGTGCCTGGGTCATGTGACCCAAAGTGCTAGGATTGCAGGCTAAGCCACCATGCCTGGTCAATAGTCTGTAATCTTAAGAAAGACCACTGCAGACACAAGGTCCTAGGTCTTTTAGATGGTCGAGGTGGCTGGGAACCGGGGCCACCCTTGCAATGGGGCTTACAGTCTAGGACTTGTGAGGGAGTTAGATCATAGCTGGAGGAACATGTTTTTTTTTTTTTTTTGAGACAGTCTCGCTCTGTTGGAGTGCAGTGGTGCAAACATGGCTCACTGTCGACCTCCCAGACTCAAGCAATCCTCCTGCCTCAGCCCCACAAGTAGCTGGAAGTACACTGCATGCCAGCACGCCTGGCTTCTGTATTTTTGTGTGGAGATGGGGTTTCACCATGTTGCCTGGACTGATTTTGAGCTCCTGAGCTCAAGCAATCTGCCTGCCTTGCCCTCCCAAAGTGCTAATTACAGGAGTGAGCCACCGCACTGGGCCTCTAGTTTTTTTTGAGACAGGGTCTTGCTCTGCCATCCAGGCTGGAGTGCACTGGCTCAGTCATAGCTCACTGTAGCCTCAAACTCCTTGGGTTCAAGTGATCTTCTCACCTTAGCCTCCTGAGTAGCTGGGACCACAGGTGCACAACACCTTGTCTGGCTAATATATATATATTTTTTGAGGCGGAGTTTTGCTCTTGTTGACCAGGCTGCAGTGCAATGGTGCAATCTTGGCTTACTGCAGCCTTCAACTTCTGGGTTCAAGAGATTCTCCTGCCTCAGCCTCCCAAGTAGCTGGGATTACAGGTGTGCCCCACCGTGCCTGGCTTTTTGTTTTGTATTTTTAGTAGAGATGGGGTTTCACCATGTTAATCAGGCTGGTAACGAACTCCTGATCTCAAGTGATCCACCCGCCTTGGCCTCCCAAAATGCTGGAATTACAGGCATGAGCAACTGCACCTGGCTAATTTTTAAATTTTTTGCAGAGACAGGGTCTCTCTAGGTTGTCCAGGCTGGCCTCAAAACTCCTAGGCTCAAGTGATCCTCCTGCCTTGGCCTCCCAAAGTGTTGGATTACAGGCGTGTGCCACTGCACCTGCCCGGAACATTTCTTTTTAGTGAAGTATTATTTCAAATATTTAAGGGTCAAGTATTGGTAAAACACACCAGCATTTCTGCATTTTTTATAATTTTGCCTTTCTTATCTGCATAGATAGAAAGGCATTATTTCTAGTCAATGGATGAGAAAGAGGCACATTATATTATTCTAGTCCCTGGGGCTATGAAGGGAAAGCATGAAAGGGAACCAGGCGCTGTCATCTCTGGCTTTGGGCTCAGGGTGACACAGGTACCAGCTCTTGGCATGAGGCAGGGGTTTCTTTCTTTCTTTTTTTTTTTTTGAGATGGAGTCTTGCTCTGTTGCCTAGGCTGGAGTGCAGTGGCTCAATCTCGGCTCACTGCACCTCCGCCTGCTGGGTTCAAGGGATCCTCCTGCTCAGTAGTTAGGAGTACAGGCAGCTGCTGCCACACTCGGCTAATTTTTGTATTTTTAGTACAGATGGGGTTTCATCACGTTGGTCAGGCTGGTCTTAAACTCCTGACCTCAGGTGATCTGCTCGCCTCGGCCTCCCAAGTGTTGGGATTACAGGCATGAGCCATGGCGACTGCTAACCTGCTGGGTTTACGTTCCAGCAAGGAGCTCTCTTTGGAAGAGGGCGATTGCCTTTGCCATGAAACAGGTGTGTCCAGGTACGTGTGCTTGTGGCCTACCTGGAATGTGTACTTGGCACTGTACCCTGACCTCCGGATGCGCACGGTCTCCAGCATACCGGTGTAGCGCAGCTGCTGCAGGACCAGCTCGTCGTCAAAGCACGCTCTTTCTGAAATGAGAATGTGAGAGATCACGCAGGTGGCCTTGACCGGACAGGATGCCAAGCCTGTCGGTGGCTCAGGCTGGGAACTGTGAGATTAGGGCACTGTGCCATGTGACCACTGCCCTTGGGATCCCTAACACAGACTTGGTCAGGATGTACATGTGGGTGCTGGCTAGCTGACCTGGGAGTGTTCTATGGCACAGCAGCCAGGAGTGCCTGGACAAGGGGTCCTTCCTTGCTCCAGACACTCCTTCTGGAATGAGGCCAAGATGAGAGGATCAGTTGAGGCCAGGAGTTTGAGACCAGCCTGGGCAACATAGTGAGACCCCATCTCTAGTCATTTAAATTTATTAAAACAAACAAACAAACAAACAAACAAACAAAAAAAACTAAATGCAAATGTGTCCTGGGCTTGTTCTCTGTGGCAGGCACGGGGTAAGTGCTCGGGATTTGGTGGAGAGGAGAGCTTGGTCTGGGGGCAGGAGCCACACACAGGTGATAGAACAGGCAGGGAGCAGCTGGGTGGAGGCCGAGAGGAGGAGGAAGAAGCCAAGGGGCTGATGGGGACACAGGGAGATGCTTCCTGCCAGGGGAGAGAAGAGGCTGGAAATGCGGCTGCCTCAGTGGGCTTTAAGCCTGGAGCTCAGGGGTCTGGACTTCACCCTGGTGGGCAGTGAGGGATAAGGCATGGTGTTGCTATAAAGACAAACGGTGCTGGGCGCGGTGGCTCACGCTTGTAATCCCAGCACTTGGGAGGCTGAGATGGTGGATCACGTGAAGTCAGGAGTTCAAGACCAGCCTGGCCAACATGGTGAAACCCCGTCTCTACTAAAAACACAAAAATTAGCTGAGCATGGTGGGCACCTGTAATCCCAGCTACGTGGGAGGGTGAGGCAGGAGGATGGCTTGAACCTGGGAAGTCGAGGCTGCAGTGAGCCGAGATCGCACCACTGCACTCCAGCCTGGGTGACAGACAGAGAGAGATTCTGTCTCAAAAACAAACAAACAAAACAAACAAACAAACAAAAAAGGCAAACAGGAAAGAATGGGGAGGGTTGTCATGACTGGGGGTGGATGTGGGGGCCAGGGATGCTGCCTGACACCCTCCAGTGCACAGAATGGCTCTTATCATAGAGAACCATCTGCTGGCACAGCCCACGAGCAGAGACGGTGCACGACGGAGCATCTCCCCAGGTACAGTTGGTGGGAGGTTCCTGCCTGGCTGTGTGCTCACATTTGTCTGGGAGCCCACACCCCTGCTCCGTCCCTGGTAAAGTCCCCGAGCTGTCCTCCCAGGGATGGAGTGGACCTCTGGGGTAAAGGAAGCCTGTGCCAGTGCTGAGCCTGAAGCCCCCCTGGTGCTTCCACTGGGGCTCCGAGGGTCTCTCTAGACACTTGCAATGTGAGCAGCGGGCTGTGTGTGGCCTCTAAGACTCTGCTATGTAACCTCAGCTCTTGCCTTTTGGTACACTCCTTGCACTGGCTACTCTTTGGGATGTATCTGAAGAGCACCCCTGACCTGTCGCTCCCTAATCAAACCTTCTCTGGGCCTCTCCATGTTCCAGATGTGTCCCTACTCTTGAATGGCCACTTGGGCCATCCTCACTGCTAACCCTCTATCCCCAGCTGCCTCTGGATGGACTGCTGCACTGTCCCCCATACTGCGTGGAGGCTGGGGCTGGATGCAGGACACCGACACCCCTAAGAGTCTGGCATGGGCCTTCTCTCCCAAACACCTTAGAGAAACTCACCTTTTCAGCATTGGAACGGATGCACCGGATAAAGAAGGGCTCTGCTTTCCCCAGCGCCTCCAAGAGCTTGTTAAGGATGTCTGTTAAGGGAAGAGAGAGCATTTGGGTTGAGTTAGGGACCCTGGCAGCCGCTGTTCTGTGGGGAGACCTGGGATGCTCTAGCATCAGTGTGCGGGGATGGGGTCTGCACAGATGTGGGTCCCTGGTGGTGGGAACACAGAGGTTCCAGCTGGACGTTCTGACCCGACCTGCGCTATCCCTGGAAACCCTCGAGGGAGCTACGTGTCCCCATGGTCCCAGGGCCACCAGTGCTTGTCTCTGCCTCAGGTGGAAAGGCTGGGGCTGGGGAGGACCGGACAAACGCTTTCTGGAGATTTGAAACATGTGTCAGCCTCTGAAGGGACCATGGATGTAGTGTTGTTTTTTTTTTTTGAGACAGAGTCTCACTCTTGTTGCCCAGGCTGGAGCGCAATGGCCTGATCTTGGCTCACTGCAACCTCCGCCTCCCAGATTCACGCAATTCTCCTGCCTCAGCCTCCCAAGGAGCTGAGACTACAGGTGCCCGCCACCTGGCTAATTTTTGTATTTTTTTTTGAGACGGAGTCTCGCTCTGTTGCCCAGGCTGGAGTGCAGTGGCGCGATCTTGGCTCACTGCAAGCTCCACCTCCCGGGTTCACACCATTCTCCTGCCTCAGCCTCCCGAGTAGCTGGGACTACAGGTGCCGCCACCATGCCCAGCTAATTTTTTTGTATTTTTAGTAGAGACGGGGTTTCACCGGGTTAACCAGGATGGTCTCGATCTTCTGACCTCGTGATCCGCCCGCCTCGGCCTCCCAAAGTGCTGGGATTACAGGTGTGAGCCACTGCGCCGGGCGAATTTCTTTATTTTTAGTAGAGACGGGCTGTGCTCGGTGTCGGGTGAAGCTACACAAGCGTAAGGCTGAGCTGAGCACCGCCTCCCGCCTCTCCTGCTGCACCCACCTGGAACTGGGCGCTGATGCTTGGCGCCGCCCCCCGCCTCTCCTGCTGCACCCACCTGGAACTGGGCGCTGATGCTTGGCGCCGCCCCCCGCCTCTCCTGCTGCACCCACCTGGAACTGGGCGCTGATGCTTGGCGCCGCCCCCGCCTCTCCTGCTGCACCCACCTGGAACTGGGCGCTGATGCTTGGCGCCGCCCCCCGCCTCTCCTGCTGCACCCACCTGGAACTGGGCGCTGATGCTCGGTGGCTTTTTCTTCTTGTGCAGGTGCAGCAGGGACTTGGTGGTGCGGTCGTGCAGGGTCATGCTGATGATGAGTTTCAGGGACTTGGAGTCCAGCAGGTTCTAGGACAGACACATGGGGTCCGGCCTGCCCTCCCACAGCCCACACGGGCACAGGAAGGCATCACAGCGTCCCCGGAGCCAGGGCAGAACAGCGTCCCCGCAGCGAGTGCCCAGGCGGCAGCTCTTAGGTTTGGTCTTGGGACCACGCTGTTGGAGAGGGCCCAGTGGAATGAGGTGGGCTACACTTTGCACACAGCGCTGGTTCCGGCAGGGCTGATGGCAGCCTCTTTCACCGCCTGAGTGGCTGCCCCATTTCCCCTTCCTCTGGGTTAGAGAGGAAGCCAGTGCTACTGAACCTGGCCGACCCTCTCCTCTGCACAGCTCCTACAGTTTACGTTACTTGAGGCAAGAAGGGCCAGGTCTTTTTGTGCCATCCGCATGAGCTCATCGGACAGGCCACCCTCATGTGTCAGCCAGTTCTATCAGCTGACAAGAGGAATTAGCCCTCTCCCATCTGCTAACTAGACTGCAAGGCTAGTCTTACTCTTTTTGCCAATTTCCTAAATTGCTGCACTTGTACGTGGAAACGAGACAGAGCGCTTGGGAGGTGCTCTGTCCCATCTGGAAGTGGCCCTGTAGCCAGGGACTGAAGATGGGGCTGTTAAACGGAAGGGTCCCATTACCTTGGGGCAGGATGAGCTCTATGGTGCTATGAACCCACTAGAGCTCCCTGTGGGACCAGGCTGAGGCCAGACTTCAGCTGCGCTTATGCCCCTGGCTTCCTCCCTCACCCCTTCTCTCTGCTTTCTCCTGTAAACCCCCTCCATAAGCCGCTGTGTGTGCAAATATCCCCATCTCAGACCGTGCTTCTGGGAAACCCATAAAGAGCCAGCTCCAAATCATCTCAACACAAGAACATTTTTTTTCTTGGAGGAGGGGGAGATAGTGGGAAGAAGGAGGTAATGAAGCTGCAGAAGTGAAAGCTCTCAAGACGGGCAGAGAAGCAAGATATCTTGGAATGTGTCGCGCGGGGTGTGTGGTTTTTTTTTTACCTTTGGAATGATCTGCTTTTGTTTGATACCTTTACTTTTCCTGTCAAAATATTAAAAATGGTTTTGTGAACAAAAGGAACACAGCGTCGGGATTTGGGTTAGTTCAGCAAGCCACGCCTGGCGGGTTAGACTGAGACAGAGAGAGATGGGAGAGAGCGAGAAGGCGCAAGTGCAACGAGGCCGCCGCCACCTCTCCACACCGCACACCGAGGCGTGCCTCAGCCACTGTCTGTGGACACCAGTTTCCCTGGGATGGCGGGAGCCGGACTCTGCTGGTGGCTGCCCCAAGGCTGAGAAAAGCATTCGGTCTGGGGGCCATTCGGATGTCTGAGAAGTAGGAGGGGCTGGCTAGGAAGCTACAGGGTAGGACGTGCATCCAAAGGGGCTCGCTATGGAGGAACTGACATATCCCCAAATCACGGCAGGATGCCCTAAATGGGGCAGAGGAAGCCTGAGCAGTCCTGGTGGAGACCAGGTGACCAGGCTGTCTTTGCCATGCGCTGGTAGACACCAAGCAGGCCCAGAGGCCCTTCTGGAACCCTCTGCCGGCAGGGCAGGGACTTGCCTTGCAAAATAACCAAAATGGGGCCTGGGTGGGAGCTCCTTTCAGGATCATGCTGGTGGGAAAGAAGAAAACCAAAACTGGCCAGGCGCGGTGGCTCACGCCTGTAATCCCAGCACTTTGGGGGGCTGAGGCAAGTGGATCACTTGAGGTCAGGAGTTCAAGACCAGCCTGGCCAACGTGGTGAAACCCTGTCTTTACTAAAAATACAAAAATTAGCCAGGCGTGGTGGTGGTTGCCTGTAATCCCAGCTACTCAAGAGGCTGAGGCAGGAGAATCGCTTGAACCCAGGAGGCAGAGGTTGCAGTGAGCCGAGATTGTGCCACTGCACTCCAGCCTGGGTGACAGAACAAGACTCTGTCTCA